ATGATTTTATTAGGCATGCCTAAACCTACCCAAAAACTATTAATAGACAGCTATTTTTTTGTTTATTAAGCTAGTAGTGTTAGTTAATAGTTTGTCAAAACCGTGAATTGTGACCTAAACTAAAGTGCTACCAATAAAGGTGGGAAATAAGTAAAACTAAAACCAGAAAATCATTTCTTGCAATGAAATTGCAAGTTAATTATCTTATTTTACTTTCAACCCATTGTAAAGACTTTCCTCAGCCTACATTTTTCCATATGTCTAATTGTGCTGGTTGAAAGTCTTTTCACATTCCTACTGTATAGTAGTGATTAAAATAAACGATCTAAATGTGTTTATATGTACTTTTATATTCTGGGTAAGGCATAAGACAAAAAAAAATTCATACAATTAAAATTGTTTGAGCCGTTATTCTGATAAATAGCCCAAGCTGTCTGTCAGCAGATGTAGATTTGCTCATCTGTGCAGCATTCATGTGCACAGGAGAGAGAGGGACATGGTAAAATCAAATTCTTAATCAAAACTTTTTAAAATCCTAAATCAGTATTTGAGTTACTTTTGCACACTGGAGGAATAATGACGCTATGGCTGAAGTATTTATTTTAGACAGTTATGTTTTAGTATTTTAGTCACGCAAAGCTGATGTAGATTGTGTTGTATTATGAATGCCACTGAAATCTTCTGCCGAAAGATTGATATGACTATTTTAAATTTCATAATGGACCTTTTACAGCATTGATAATGTAGATTTTTATTTAGTTTAACAACAAAACATCAGTAAAGCGCTATTTAGCCTAGCCTATTTTACTAGTTCATTTTTGAACATTGACGACCTGTGACACGCTCCCTATATTGTTTACCATTCTACTTTCAGCATTTGGTCTAAAATAGTGTAAGTATGGCTTAGTAATAAGTGTAATTCCTGCACTCTGCCGGCCAACCACTAAAAGAAGTTGCTTTAGAACAAACCGTGTGAGAGAGTGAGACCAGCGATCCTTGCATGCATGAAATATTGCACACTCTGTCAGTTGGCGTTTCTGTGTGGAGTTTGCATGTTCTCCCTGCGTTCGCGTGGGTTTCCATCGGGTTCTCCGGTTTCCCCCACAGTCCAAAGACATCCGGTACAGGTGAATTGGGTAGGCTAAATTGTCCGTAGTGTATGATTGTGTGTGTGAATGTTTCCCAGAGATAAGTTGCGGCTGGAAGGGCATCCGTTGCGTAAAAATGTGCTCGATAAGTTGGCGGTTCCGGACTAGTTAAGGGACTAAGCCGACAAGAAAATGAATGAATTACATTAATATATTTCCTTTGATCATTTGTTGGTTAGAATGAATTTAAGATTTCCATTATGAAATTACATTAGCTTACTACTAACCTGTGGAAAGCTGTCTTAAAAATAAAATAAAATAAAATAAAATAAAATAAAATAAAATAAAATAAAATAAAATAAAATAAAATAAAAAAACTCCTTATTTCTAGGGTTGGGGCTTGTGACTATGTTTAGATGGTTATCAGTAATCTATTGACTTGCCTTAACCTTTGATGTTTTATGGACTTTATGTTCTTAAATAACTAAAGCCAATTAAAATCAATAGATATATAGATACATAAAGAAGAAACAAAAACTAAAATACAGTTTAAAAATACAGAGGATTAATATAAAACTCCCTGTGAAAGTGGTAAAAAACTAGTTTAAAATTAAATGAAAATAGAAGGTAATATAGTAAAACATAATTACAATAATTTAAACTCTTTGTTATCTCTGTGGTTCTGAAAATTTATTGATTTGAGCTTCATCATAATATAATCATATTATGTTCTAAGCTTAGGCTTCATTTTAATTTTGACTTCAAAGCTTCATATTAAATTATGTTTTTTTGTGTTGTTTTTTAAATTGAATTTTATGATTTAATTGTAATTGTTTGTGAACTAGAAAGGACATTTTGTTTTAGGGATTTTTTTATTTAATACACCAATTTCTTCTTAATTTACAAAACTTACAAACTTACAAAGAAAAACTATATAATGCATTCAATTAAGCATTAAATACGTATAAACATAAACAGTGCTTTCTTGTAAATTGTGCAATAGTCTGTATTACACATTTATTCTTTTAATGCATTCATTTGTTTTATGTCCATACTGTATTATGACTTATAATGTAGCAATTATAGACTCAGTAATTATAATGACAAGTATTTTTTAAGCACTAATAAATAAACATACATTTTACCTGCTATAGAAAAATTTAAATATACTCACACCAACATTTATAGGAACATCCCCTGGCTGCAAACCCTGTTCAGTCTAAACATGTGCAAAAAACAGATATGATCAATGACTATACACACATACACACAAATTGTTCAAACATATTGAAGTTTTGTTATTGACTTACAGCAGAACTGAGTCCACAACAAACAAGTCCCATGAAAAAAATCAAAGATCTCATGACTGGTACAACCTGATTCTAAAGCAAGATAAACAAATAAAAAATGTACATGAATATTTCACATCCACAAAAAGTTTCTGAAGTCAACATACACAAAACAAACCAGCTCAAATATGCAACACTGTATTAAAATAACTCACCTTTTTAACTAAACTGAAAAACAGAGTCGACAGAGGAAAAATCATCTGCCAAATGAAAAGAAAGCAACCTTCAGAGTGCATATAAATTATTTATCCAACCAATCAGAAGAGGCTTGTAATGCTATGATGTCGTTAATCAACAAAACATAATAAAAATGATGAATTTCTGCTTTCCCTTTTGGTTAATTAAACACTTAATAACACCTTTCGTCTTATTCCTGGTTACACAAGTGGTTTTCACTCATCTGTGAAATATACACAGAGTCATAATTGAGATATTATATGTTGCAATAAGATCAGATGTGGTAAACGTTCCTCACGATAAGATCTACAATAATTTTTAATATGATAGTTACACAATATCGAGTTTATAGAAAACTATGTAGTCAGAAAGCTGTTGAAGACATCTGTCATATTTTGGTTATATTTTGTTGGGTGTAACAGGTATTTTTTGGGTTCACCAGAAGTCTGAGGTTTATTCCACAGTTTTTATGATGTTATTATTGGAAAGTCCTAATGAGCCGATGTTGTAATTGAAATAGTTGTGTGATTATTGCACAAACTGCAGCCACACAACCTGGTTATTGTTTTACATACACAAATAAAACATCTACATTGAGGATTGCAGCATTGAACAAGATCCTATTATAATTCAACATTTTTTTTTGGTTAGTCCCTTATTCATCAGGGGTCATCACAGTGGAATGAACCACCAACTATTCCAGCATATGTTTTATGCAGCAGATGCTATTTTGCACCGCAATCCAAAACTGGGAAACACTCATACACACACCCCAGCAAAGAATTTTGTGTTTATTAGACATATAATAGGCATCTACACATAGGAAGCTTGGCTAAAACAAGGCTAAACTTGGGCTGTCGGTGAAAATCTAATAGACATCTAAGAATAGTCCATAACTAGACTAGTCATCAAACAGACAGATTAGACAGACTTTATATGTGTAGTCATTCATTTCTGTTTATTTGATGACAAGACTAGCTTTGGCCTATTCTGAGACATCTATTAGTTTTTCTGACACCCCAAATTTAGTTTTGTTTTAGCCAAGACAACTATGTTTGGACGTCTATTAGACATCTAGTAGACATCTTTTACAAACAAAAATGCTTGCTGGACACATACACTACGCCGATTTTGTTTTACCGCATGGAAATACATGGAGAACACGTAAACTCCACATAGAAATGCCAACTGACCCAGATGAGACTTGAACCAGCGACCTTCTTGCTGTGAGGTGACAACCCCTAAGATCGTATTATTTATAAAATAATTAAATAACAGTATTTGTGCTTAATTTCCCAGAGATGGGTTGCGGCTGGAAGGGCATCTGCTGCGTAAAAACTTGCTGGATAAGTTGCCGGTTCATTCCGCTGTGGCGACCCCGGATTAATAAAGGGACTAAGCCGACAAGAAAATGAATGAATGAATATTTGTGTTTAAAACCGATAAGGAATGATTGATTTCAGACCATAAAAAAATTATATATATATATATATATATATATATATATATATGTATATGTATATGTATATGTATATATACCCAAATATATATATACCCAAACATATGTTGCTGCTTTTTCAATCTACTTATTTAAAATGATCTGAATCAACACAATTATTATGTTTCTTTTGAGATAACTTACTGGTTTTATGTTTAATCCACCTGAACTTGTAAAAACAAATAAGTTAACGTAATAGATTTGTGTTGGGACAACATGAATGAATTCCATGAAATCCAGCAATTTTACAGTCTATACCAAACTACATATTCTGTCTATATAACTTATCTTACTCTTAAAAATATACAGCAAACATATATTACCATATAAAGCATGACTTTTCTGTGTGCTGTTTCCCCCACCAGGATAAAAAAAAAAAAAAACTGTAACTTTTTATCGCCAATTGTGAGTTTATAGCTTCTCGGATCTACTCTCATGTCTACTGTATCATGTCATTTATCTTAGGACAGCTCCAAATAAGACTAAGCAATGACCTCAAAATTTTGATTCTTCCAGGATTTCTAATTTTAATCTGCACTGTATATATATTAACCCAACATAAGACCTCCGGAATGCGAACATGTTTCAGTACAGCAGCGGTTTTCATAATTACTGGGGGAAATCATGACAAAACACCTGCAGTTTGCAGAGACATAAACAACACAGTGATGATGTCTAGACTTGACAAGATGTGGTCAAAATCTACTCACAAATTTCTCTGAGACATCTTATAAATAAAGTTGCTTTCACTACTTTACCAGACGTTTCTTGTCTGATTGTAAAGAATGTGATATTGTCTGAACTTCTGCTTTTTGACAGTATTCAAATCATAATGAATTGATGTCGAAATTTAATTAGCGCAGTTATTGCTTCACTGTGGCCACATGTGTGGTAAAATCTGATTGGGTGGATTTTTGTTGTTCTTCCCATAAGGTATATAGATGTACTTAATGCAAGATTAAAGCAGAGCTGATCGTTTCCCACTTGATGGTAAGTTTATGATTCTTTACCTTTTCAACAGTCAGATATTCTGGACTTTGTAACTTTGTTAGATACAGTATATGTGACATCTGCAATGGAAAAGTAGACTATTATGACTGACGTTCAGATAAGGATTATCTGCACTTTTACCACACATTGACTGCTTTATCAGACATGCATGCTATACTGTACAGATGGCCTTGATTTGAGCAGCAAATGACACATGATGTATATACACAGCCATTATGTAAGCTAATAACTTCACTTGACTTACATAATGACTATAGACATTATATACTATAGACAAACTTCATAGTCAAATTTAAATAGAAAATAATACTAATACAAATGTAAAACTGGACAACAAAATTAATCAAACTTAATATTATAATACAAAAATATATTGATTTCATTATAAAATAAATTGTATTACATTTTATTATTATTTTACAAATTGAATAACTCTGGTGCTGGGTAACTCCAAAATGTGATATATAGGGATTGTGGTCATTTTGTCATTATGTAAAAACAGCATTTATGAAATGTTCTATATTTTTCTTTGAAATTATTATTTTCAGGTTTATCATCTAGCCTATTGATGATGTTGATACGTGCTTTATCTCAGTGTTTGTCTATTAAAGCGTGCTTTTTACATAACCGATCGCAAAAATTACGTTTAGTCATAATCGAACGACAGATATGCAGAGGTAATGTGTCAGAATAACTATAGATGGCGCTATTTCTTCTTGAAAACAATTAAATTCAATCCATGTTTATTTATATAGTGCTTTACAATGTTCAGTAGATTGTGTCAAAGCAGCTTAACATAGAAGTTTTAGTAAACTGAAGCTGTGTCAGTCCAGTTTTCAGAGATGAAGTTCAGTTTAGTTCAGTTCAGTGTGGTTTAATTTTCACTTCTGAAAGACCAAACACTAAAGAGAAAATCCATTGATGCACACCTCCACAAGTCCTAAACCAATCAGTTTCTTTAATCCATTGTGGTGTTCCACAAGGCTCGATGCTAGATCTCTTTTCAAAGATACACAGTTAGACATTAGACAATTTATTTTTAATTAAAACTATTAGCTAAAGTGAAAGCATTATAGCTTTGGATCAACTTAAATACTTTATTCTCTTACACCTAAAATAATAGCTTTGTTTCCCACACTCAATTTACTAACAAAAACAAAAGTGGAAAAGTATTGTGTCAATCTACTTGCAAAATAAAAGAAAGTTTTGCAAACCAATAATAAAGTATTGAGCAAAAATAAATAAAGAAATAAATGCAAACTCAAAAAAATAAATAAATAAATAAAATAAAAATGTATATATATATATATATATATATATATATATATATATATATAAATGTATTTTGCTCACAAAAATAAAGAACTGCAATTAACAGAAGGGAAAATTAAGTTTTAAGCAATAACAATGAAATTTGCAAACAAAAAAGAACTCCAAATTCAAATCAAGCAATGCAAAAAAAAAAATAAAATTATATATGTATATATATGACCACCTCTGTGATACTGTGCCTCCAGGTGATGATGTCGCTTAAATGAAGGCAGGTCCGGGCCTGCCATAAACGCCCAAGTTCCCTTGACTCTACCACCTTGTCAAATCAGGGCCACAAAGTGAAATATGCAGAAACGTGCAAAGTGAAAACAGAATCGCAAACTCACAATTGACTTAAAAGCGAAACAAAATGAGCATTGTAATTTACGGAATGTGATTTGCAAAGGCAATGCTAGAAATAATATTTAAGTTTTGTAAATATATATATATATATTTTTTTTTGCACTGCTTGATTTTAATTTGCAAATCTATTTATTTGCAAATACATTTCATTTTTGTTTCTTAAAACTTAGTTTTTCTCAAAACTTACATTTTTTGTAAGCAAAACACATTTTTATTTTTTTAAAAATATATTTTCTTTGCGATTTTTAGATTTGCATTTCTTTCTTTATTTTTGCTCAGTAATTTATTTTTTCTTTGCAAAACTTTCTTTTATTTTGTAAGTATATACGGCCCTAGATTGACTACATAGTAAAGACTTTGTTTGACTTTGAATTTGTTCAGGTGTAACATGTTCATTTAATTTGCTTTTAATGTTAATAAGTTTTTTTTTTTACTTTTACAGTGCAGGATGATAAACTTTGATAAAACCACTTTGCAATTGTTATTAGTAGTAGTATTTATAATGTACTTTTAGTGATAGGTTTTTGTGCATTTTAGGGTAAAACTTAAATATGAAGACAGTCATTGTAGTGTTGTCCATCCTGGGCCTTTGTCTCGGCGCTCCTGTAAGTTTCATGAAAACCAATAAATTTAATCTATTAAAGCAGAATATTGAATCATTCTAAACAATGTTGTCTTTCTTCTTACAGGTGGAGCATGATATGGATAGAGATAATGAGCAAGAAATTGATGAGGTGAGAAAGTAGATTGTGTATAACAATATTCCAAAGCAACCTTTGTGTATGTCATTATACCCTAAAAGAAAAGATTCATGGACTTACTACTTTTTTTAAGGTAAGAGGTTGTGAACAATTTATATTGGCTGAATTTAAACAAGCAAATTAAGTTGAACATTACTTTATTTAATTTGTTTATGTTCAGCCCATATAAATTGTTTGTGACCACTGACCTTTAAAAAATTTGTAAATTAAAAAATATATATATTTTTTTTCATGTTTATTTATTGATAAAGGGTCAGCAATTTGCTGGTTCTCCGCTGGATCAGACAGACCCCATTACCAGGACAATCCTCTACCCTGTTCCAAGAGCTGATGGCTTCCTGGGAAACCTTTTTATGAACCCTTTTCTAAACCCATATGGATCTCACCTTTATTACCCGCAGTACCCACTGTACTCAGGTTACCCAACTTACCCACACTACCCTGCCTATTCACTGCCACCTGTTATAATACACTTGCCTCAGAGAAACCCCTGAAACTGGCAAAATCGTAACGTCAATTGCATTATCTATACTTCAAACAGACAAATATTGTCTTTATTTTGCGTAATGCTATGACATATTTGATTTCAATTTATCAGACTTTACACTTGTGTTACTTTGCCTTTTTTCTTAGTTTTTCTTATATTTTACTATTGTTTCTTATTATATTCACCTATTCCTGTTTGTTTTCTCCACTGTATTTAGTATTGCAAACTCATTTCCCCCCCAAAAAAAATATTTAGAGCAACATATATCTGATTCCTTCAGCCAGATTAATCAAACAAACACAATATCTCTATTTCCAAGATGGTGTCAACTAGTGTGAGTATAGCAAAGTGATGTGGAAAAGAGCCAGTACATGTGGAATTTCTATGTTGCACAAATTGTACAAATGTGCAATACTCAATAAATATACTATACTATGTTTGGTTATGTGGGTGTGTGTGTTCTCAACATTTGCTTGTTTAATAATTTCTAGACAGACCACTGTAAAGCAAACATTACAAAACTGAAGATATATTACATATATATGGGCAATATTACACAAGTAGCAGTGCGATATGGCTGTATATCAGCACTGGTGAGAGGCGTGCGTTGGCTCGAGTCAGCAGGCCGAGTGCTTTGGTTCCCCTCACCAATGCCGGTATACAGCCATTTCGCACTGCTACAAGTGTGATATTGCGCTTATACACTCTCAGAAAGTACAAGGTCCATATTAATACCTCTAGGGTACATGATAGTACCTACAAATATGTTCCTCTTATATTTTTTAGGTACTAATATATACTTTTGAGGCACCAATATGGACCCTTAAAGTACAAAGCTTGCGTACCTTTATTTCTAAGAAAACAGTAATACAGTTTAACAGTAAAGTCTTGAAAACCTTTTTTTTTTGAGGAACTACTGTCTTTGGCCACACATTCACATCTGCAGCTGAAGTCAGAACAGCAGAAACCATTGCTACTTCACAAACGTCACTTGTGAAGTAGTGATGCTAATTTTTGCTCACATTTTAAGATTATGTGGCTAAATGGCATGAAATACCATCAATCTACAGAGAGTCCCAGTATTTTTCTATTGCAATCAGGATTTCTCAGTAATTACTCCGAAAAAGACAGAGAAAAGAAAACACTACCAGTTTCTGTGGTATAAATAGAGCACTGCAACATACACATGAGAGAGATTGACTTAGGATGTCACTTACTTGATTTATAATGATTTGTTCGGCTGTAGTTTAAAATTAAAGCTGCAGTCACACTGGGCTTTTCCTCCCATTCATACAGACTTCCATTCATACACACGCGAATGCGTCAGACCGGAAACGCAGGGTCATGTGTCAAGTTTCGCAGGTTGCTGCGGTGCAAAGTTCAAGCTTGGTGAACTCTGACCTGCGAAGTCGCATCACTTGACTGTGTGAGAACAATCGAGGATCAAAACATAACATCTCTGGACAGAAATTTAAAACATGGAGCAATCGCTCGCTTTTAAAAATGTCTAATTAATGTGTGCTAATGTGACTGCAGCTTTACCCTGAGAAAATGCTGTTTTTCTCCCCTGAGGGACTTATAATGCAGTCTCTGTTGCCATTTTGTGGCTAAATGTCAACTGTCACTTTCTTTAGTCTCATCAGACAGCCTGATGGCGGCCGATGAATTGAATAAATGCTCCGAAATTATTAATACTTTAAAATACTGTAAAAAAAAAATTCCTTGCTTGGTTAAAGATAATTTGGGAAATATTTAAAAGCAAAAAAAAAAAATGACTGGAGGGTTAATAATTTTGACTTATAATAATAATTTTTAACTTTTAAATTTTAACTGTAGATATTTCCCAGAGATGGGTTGCGGCTGGAAGGGCATCCGCTGCGTAAAAACTTGCTGGATAAATTGGCGATTCATTCCTCTGTGGTGACCCCGTATTAATAAAGGGACTAAGCTGACAAGAAAATGAATGAATGAGTATACAGATAAATAGTTTAAAGGGTTTAAAACAAACTGCAGCCATCTAACTGGTGCAATTGAAATGTATTGGTTTAATTTTTTGGCTTTCACGTATGGATTTAAATGCCCAAAAGTAGAATTAAAGTATTCAGAACTTATATGAAGGATCAAAGTAAAGCAAAAGTACAGAAGCGATTGCTGATGACTGACAAGCATGATGCGACAACATATAAAAAGTGTCTTTGGTGTTTCTCAGTTTTTTATAAAATCAAACTGGAAGTGTTTGGCGTCATCAGCATTCATAGCCACACAGGACACAGTCCATGTGACTAGTTAAAATGGCTAATTTCTCTGAATTAGAAAATGCATTAAAGCATTTGAAAACGTAACAAAATATATCAAACTTTTCTGGTGATTTTTTTTTTTTTACATATTAATGAAATAATCTTACATATATACCTGTAGCGCGTGCCCAAGGTTTCATTGTAACTGGCAGAGCACTAAATGTTTTGATGATTTATGGCGCCATCTTGAGATATGACACGATTTTTGAGAAAAAGCAGTTATGGTTCAGTGGCAAAACTTTTGAAAAGTCTTAGAAGTGCCATCTTAAATGTTTCTTCTAACATCAGCAATAGGTTCAATAATTTCACTTTTATGACAATAGGGTTCTTTGCAAATTTGTTTTGTTGACTCATGGCGCCTCCTCGTGGTGTTATTAAAAGGAATGCATTGAGGTTGGAAGAGAGTCAATTCAAGACATTTTGAGAGTTCCTTGATCAGTTGTTTATCAGTTTACATGACACCAGAGAATGAACAAATTAATTGATTAATAGATTTATTAAATTATACATAAAAAATTAATACAAAGTATTATGGATACTTTATTTACCAAAAACATTGTGTGAAGCCGTTGAAGTGGAGAGAATGCTAGAGCTTTAACACAGTTCGATGCTCAATAACCAGTTTAAACAATTATCTCTCAGCTGTGTGTTAATAACAGAGCCTCTCATTATCAGACTGAAGCACACTCACAGCTGAATGAGATCAGCATGATGGCAGCTCCTCCAGCACCTCTGCTAACTGCTGTTTTACACCAACAACTATTGACATGGAGTGCATATTTGGTTCAAATGAAATGAGATTCTGTGCATATTGTGAAAAATTATTTAGATATTAATAAAAAAAGTTAACATTTTCAATTAGACCTTTTCATGTGTGATGGAATTTTGATGGTAATACTATCAAGGGACAATCCTGCAAACACAAAATTCCACTGACATCAGTACAATGGTCTCAAAATCCATTCCTGCAGGGCCACAGCTGTGTAGTTTATCTCCAACCACCTCCAACTCAAACCTGCTTAATTGTCTCAAGTAGTCTTAAACACCTTGATTAGTTGGATCAGTGGTCTTTTATTAGAGTTAAAGCAAAAATACAGAGTTGCGGCCCTCCGGGAATCGAGTTTTAAACTTGAAACTCCTATTGCTTTTATATAATCATTTAAATAACCATTTTTTGGTAGTTGTTATATGTTAAAATGACCAGATAACAATGTTATAGCAAATTATTGTTAGGTTCTGTTTTATTTCAACACAAAATATATAAATGCATATAACCTACAACCACTCAAGATCTTTAAACTTTTGTTAGTCTATCTTGCTATAAAGCAAATCTTAGCAACTACCCTAAAACAAAGCATATGCTTTTTCATTCTTTTAGCATTGTTAAACAACACTGTTAGACCTTACCGGGGTTTTTTACAGTAGAACACTGGCAACACTGTTGCCAGCCACTCACTGTAAAAGTTTGGTTACAGTAAGTAACTGGCAACAGTGTTGCCAGTTAATTACTGTAACTGAACCATTACAGTGAGTGGCTGGCAACAGTGTTGCCAGTTATTTACTGTAACTGAACCGATACAGGGAGTAGCTGGCAACAGTGTTGCCAGTTAATTACTGTAATAGAGCAGCAGTGGTAACTAACTGGAAACTGTGTACAGTTAATTACTGTATTGTAGTGTTACAAATCACAGCATTATACTGCATACACATTAATAGTATGTCATATATAGTTATTGTAGTGTTACTAAAATTAATCAGTATTCTTAGCTGTTATTTAAAAATAGAAGGCATAAAATTTTCCAGACAAATTTATTTTATTGTTTTGTTACGAAACAAATAAATAACAGAAAAAGTATAACAAAATTAAGAAATCAGCAGATATAAATATTGTCTTGCATATTACAGGTCTGCACAGTAAGGCTGTGGTCACACTAACGTTTGAGCATGCAATATTCTGTCATACTGCACTGCGAAGTGGAATTAAACAAAGCGAGTGGTGGAATTAAACAAAATAATTAGAGATTGAAAAAGCAAGCCAGAGAGGTCATGTTTTGATCTTTGATTGGTATCAAGCAATCACATGATGTGATTTTGCATGTCAGCGTTCTCCAAGCTTGAACTTTCCAATGCTGCGAATTATGAAATTTGTCGCATGATTTATCATTCCAGGTCTGCAGTACTCACATGCGTATGAATGGAAGTCTATAGGGAAAAAAGTGCAGTGTGACCGGGACTTTAAGCTGTAACTCTAATTAAACACACCTGATCAAACTAATTAAGGCTTGTTAGAAATCTACAGGTAATGTTGAAGGAGGGTGGGTACTAAACTCTGCTGCCCTGCAGTTCTCCAGGAACTTGAAGTTTGACCCCCATGGTATACAGCAGTGGTGCTCAATCCTGTTCCTGGAGATTTACCTTCCTGCAGATTTCAGTTGCTACCCATATCAAGCACACCTGCCTGTAATTATCAAGTGGCGTTCAGGTCCTAATTAATTGGTTTAGGTGTGTTTGATATGGATAGCAACTCAAATCTGCAGGAAGGTAGATCAGCAAATGAACAGCAAAAAACACAACATAATTATTTTAAAGTTTAAAGTTTTAAATAATTAAAAACTGTGTTAAATCTCAATAAAAAGTTTAAAGTAATTATAAAAAAAAAGTTGGCAACACCGAAAAACCAAAGGATCCAATCTTTTATTGTTATAATTATCTCATGACAACAAACTTTATTATTGTTTCTAATATAAATTCATAGGTGGAAACACTGCTCTGAAAAATACTTAGCAACAAACTCACAACCTGGGACCGGACAATGGAGCTTTTGTGTGTGGATGGCTATGTGTATCATGTTTTTGTGATTCCCTGTGACGATGTGCACAAGTTACCTTACTGAGATGAAGGAATTTAATTTTGGCTTAGTTGCCAGAAAGATACATACAACTGTTAGCATCTGTACATTATGGCAGTATGCAATATCCAATAAATACTTAAACAAAAGTAATGTAAGAAGTTATATGAGGAGAGGCTAACTAGCTAACAATGTAGCTTTCAAGTACACAGTTCAAGATAACAACAATATAACTTAAAACACAGCCTTATTTTAGAAACCCTCAAAAACATTTGAACACATTTTACTTACTCATTATAGATTCTTATTTAAAGCCTAAAACATATCAGACTCTACATCTGAATTGATGGACAGAGAATAGAGCACACTCAGCAGTAAACAAATCAAACACCTGGCTCCCTTAAAGGGCCAGCATTTTCTGAAAACTATTTCTAACACCTTTGTGTTTAGAATAAGACAGACAGCCTGTGGGAGTGTATGGTGATGCCTAAATCATTATTTTCTGCCTTTAAAATGCACATCTCTATAAATAGCAACATAAACCATCAGAGAATTTATTGGAATTAATTCTTTGCACTACACAATTTCATACAAAGTCTACTCCTTTCACAGTAAAATAATGTGTTAATAAATAATAAATGTTTTCTTTCATTACAGCAAAACACTGGCTATTTTGCAGTTATTTACTGCACAATCTACAGAGTAACAGTGCAGTTATACTAATTAAACACACCTGATTAAACTAAATCTAAAGGTAGTGTGTTGAAGCAGGGCTGGAACTAAATTCTGCTGGGCTGCGGACCTCCAGGAGTTTGACATCCTTGGTACATAGCATATTTTCAAAGGAATTGCCTACATTTATCACAATCATGCACATATCATTGAATAAAAACAATAATATACAAACAATATACAAACGTCATCCAAAGCAAAAAAATAAAAAATTAATAAATAATCTGATCCTCATGTTGTTCCAAACCTGTAGTAATAATAATAATAAAAAACAAATAACCTGATTAATACATTTATTTAGGAAAGTCTTTATACTATACTGTTAATGCCATTTTTACCAACTTCTCCAAACAAATTAATTGAGTCTCTGCGAAAATGTATGTACGTGCTGTTTAACATATTTTTTAAATAACACATTTTTACTAGTTAATTAGCAAAATACTAATATTCAGCTTAAAGTGCAATTTAAAAGCTTAACTATTGGCTAAACTAGGCAAATTAAATTAATTATAGAAAAGTAAACAAAGTTATAAAAATGATTGTGATAATTTGGTTGCTCTGTGTGAATATTTTTGCCTTTAAATGCATCTCGTCGATATCTTTACCTTTTAATTAGCTCTGTGACATTGACATTGGTTGACTCCTGATACTCAATGTTAAAAACATAAAAGGAACCCAAGAAAACACAGAGATGGCTGCAGAGAAATTTAGCTTATCATCAATGCATTGTCTCACTTTCTCCTCAATACAGACCATACACATACCAAAACTGAACAGTATATATATATATATATATATATATATATATATATATACATATATATATAGCAACATAAAGCAGTACTTGGGGTAATAATGGTTGAGCAGTAATTTACCATTTATTATCACAGTAACTATCTGTAATGGGTACATAAAGTAAATTACTGTAATTTATTCTTTGCACTACAAAATTTCATACAAATCCTGCTCCTTTTACAGTAAAATACTGTTTCCTTTTAATACAGCAAAACACTGGCTATTTTACAGTTATTTACTGCATAATCTACAGTAAGGGTTAACAGTGAAGACAATTCACTCCCACAATATGATATCTTTGGAAAGAAACATACTATTAACAGCTACATTATGTCAACATGCTAACTAATGCAGAAACATGCTAGCAACATGCTAATTCTCTCTAGAAACATGCTTGTTCCTGAACAACAAATCCTAACAACAAAATAACAGAAACATACAAAATCATGCTAAAACACTAAAAACATGTTAGCAACATGTTCAGTCAATGTATCAATATGCTAATTGATGTAGTTTTGACAAGCCAACATCAAAATTTGTTATCAAACTTTAGCATAATTTATTTTATTAATATTAGAATAAGCGTGTGTGAACTAAAGCAGCATCTCCATTCATTTTAACTGCTTCAGTAGCATTGTTCACAGTAAGAAATGCCATGTACTGTAGTGATTTTTTTACTGATAAAATCACAATCGAGACCTGCCTATTTGATCTGCTTTGTTTAAAAACTGCCTTTTGCAAATGACACTCCACAGAATATTTGTCAGCCTATCAGAATAAAGCATTCAGCGTCCCGTTTAAGCAAATGTTTTTTTGAATATGTGAGTGTGTATTTATTACGTAATGGTTGTTTGTCCTCCAGGAAAATGAGGTCAGGTTTTTGATTTCTTTAGATCAGTCATATCTGAGATGGCGCATGAAGTGGTGTATGATCTTTCCATGAAAATTGGAAAATCTCTGAACAAAAAAGTACCTATAAGCTAATATATATATATATATATATATATATATATCAAGTGTGTGCGTGTGTGTTTAAGCTAAGACCTTAAAATGTGCACCGTATTTATTTACAGAAGCATAAAATATTACCACAGGAACAACACAACAAAGTACAGCACCAGAATTTTTTCAATTTTTTGACAAGAATTCTGTGTAATTTAGCATGTATGACATAAAAATTATATAATACATTTATTACAATTATATATACATACAATTAATTAATGCATTTTATTAAGGTAAATTCACTGACAGTTTTTCAATCATTCATTTCTGCTGCTTCAGACCAGTGATTCAGACAATGTTCCTGTGGTTTCTGCCATTCTTGAAACAAGAACATTTGCAAAAACAGGAAACAGCGATTGCTGTTTAACAGGTTACAGAAACTAGGTTAGGAAACAAGAGTGGTTTTAAACATTCACAAATAAATGCACAAAGCACGACTGAAGCTCTTCTCAAACGCCAGATGTTTTGTTAATGTGCCTCCATTTGATGGCTTATTTTTAAGACTCTAATAACAGTCTTGACTGTTTAAATGCTTAATTGCTAGCCGTTAGTGGATCCCTGCCATTACAATGACAAGAGGAAAAGAATCTTATTGTTAAGGCAGCAGAAATGTCTTGGTGTTAAAACAGAGACTGTCTTTGGATGAATAGCGGGAGGTTGAATGCAGAGCTGTAATTAAGCTATATGATAAGGGCAATCTTAGAGACCAATAATAAATGCAAGTGTGTGTGAGGCTTTAATTTACAAAACACGATGGCTAATGTTATTATTGCAATTCATTTACATTTAAAAATATGATCATGAGATGAAAAGCTGTGCTTATCTTCAGAGAAAATGTATAAATAAACAAAAGATTACCCAAAAACAATTCATTTAAAAAACTAATCAAATAAACGTGCAGGACATTAGGGTGCATGTCCACCAAAGTGTCTTTTCTCTCGATCTGAATGTTGTTTGATTTTGTTGTCAATGATAGCACTACGCTTTTTTAAATCGGTGCTTTTATGCTTTACAAAAAAAATGGAGCACCCATCAGTGTCACTTTTGATCTAGCTGTCCAATCACTGTGAAAAAGGGGTGGGACAATTCCACACAACTGTCAACAAATATTCTGCTAAAAACTTTCAACTTGTAGCAGAGATACTCTGTATCATATGGCCCGTTTCCACGGAATGGTACGTTATGGTTAGGTTAAGAACACTTTTAATGGACGTTTATACTGTCAAAAGGTACCTAAAAGTGAACCATACCACTTTTTGGGTATTCTTTGCAAAGGGTACCTAACACAACAAAAGAGTACCAAAAGGCAGGCCTAGACCACAACTGAACGCTATTGGTTTACAGAGATACGTCACTCGCTCGCGCAACAAGCCAGAATGAAAACAAAGGAACCGCCATGTTTTAAATACACAACCTAGACATTACACTGTAACGAACAAATGCAAGAGTGAAGCGCAAAAAAACAAAGGAGAAGCCAGAAAAAACAAAGAAGCAAATTTCTCTTTCAGCAACCTAAACCATGAACAAACTTCCATGTTTAACTATTATCATCACCTTTTGGACTATTTTGATTTTGAATGACGGAAATACTTTCTAACAAGAAGTTACAAGTGCTGGCAAAGATTAAAGATACAGATGAGAGGTTTGCTCTGACTGTGGGCTATATGTTGCATTTTGTTTTTGAACCCAAATAAGGACTAAATCTATGTTGGGTGTAGTTTTTCTGTAATTGGTAACATATCAGACACTGTAAGGGGCTGTGTGTGTTCATATATTGTATGTTGTTATTCATTTATTAATTTTATGTAATTGCAGACATTACAGTGGGCTATTTCATTGTTCATAGAAAGGTTAGTAATGAACATTTATACACAAGAGTTTATGTGAATAAAGCAGGGGTCACCAACCCTGTTCCTGGAGAGCTACCTTCCTGCAGAACTCAGTCCCAACCCTGATCAAACCCGTACTGTACCACACAGTGGAAATGGGCCAACAGTAACCGACTGAAAAGACACTGAGCTGCAAAAATATGTTTTTTTAGAACAATGCTCGTGTTTCTGCACTGTGAAAAACACTTCGGTGGACAAACACCCTTACATCACAAAGTGTTCCATTATACTGAAATCTACTAAAGTTTGTTAAAAATGTAATAAACAATTACAAAAAAAAATAGGTAATTCCTACTTTTAAGATGATTACTTTTTAAGAATACTAATTTTACTACTAAGACACTTTTATACAAATACAAAGTTCTATCATGAAACTCTATTGATAGGTCCTAACCAATCTGCTTCCAACCTGGTGCAAGTGATTGGTGGCTGTTTACTCAGTAGCCAATCAGCTTGTTTTTGACAGCAATCTGTAGCACGTTTTCAGATCCCTCATCCACTGCAGCAGTATAGGTCTGCTACAGAGGATTTATGTGTGTTCTGTTTGAAGCAGCAGTGTTTTGTATTCTCAGACTGCATGTCTATGAGTATACTGGCATTAGCATGTCTCAGTACTTGCTCTCCACCATTAATTAAGCAGCAGCAGCAGCAGCAGTGTAGCAGATCTACTCCACCAAGAACAATCACATCAACACTGCCATATGTGTATTCGATTCTTGAGCGTTATCATGACAGAACTAATATTTCAAGTATTTCACAAATTGAGCTTTTCTCAGAATAGTGAGTTAATAACTTTAAGTGGCAAGATATTTCAGTTAAAAAAGATATACATTACTTGGAGTCCAATGAAGGTGCTATTTTTAAATGGAAAAAGTCGAAAATGTTACGTTTTTGTGCATATATTTGGTAAGTTTTAAAATGTGATATTTTTGTTACAACAACATTGATTTACATATGTTAGCCTTTTGACACGTGTGGGTTAGTTTAACTTCAAAATAAAAGCCACTGTCCAACACCATGATAAGGCATGAAAGAGCCCAAATTAAATTGAAAAGTACTCTGACTTTGTTTGTCTGACAGAAAAAAAGTCATATACACTTAAAATGGCTTGAGGGTGAGTAAATTATGGGGTAATTTTCATTTTTGGGTGAACTATTCCTTTAAATAGCAAATGCATTTGCAATGCAATTAAATTCCAAGATCCACAAGAACAGGCCTTACATACAAAATCCTCATTTACAGATAGTCTTGCCTACATTTTGCAACCTCTTGATAATTCAGGTCAGTTTATCATTTATGTTTAGACTTAAGCGATAATCTTGGGGCCAAAATCCAGAATCTGATGTAACCATGTTCATGGTTAAACACAGAGGTGTAGGTTGTTCTTCAGAAAGGAAGCACTTCCTCATTTAGCCATCAAACATTGGGTTCAGAAAATTCCCCACAGAGCCGTGTTCACCGTCATCCAACAGACGTCCATAAGAGGAACGTCTGCAACACACAAACAAGTCTGATATTAGCAACCTGTTAAAAAGCCAAAGCTAATCAATTAACCTACATATTATTATTAAATAATACAACTGCTTAAATCATAAAGTTTGCTATATATACACTCTAATATTTAAAAAAAAAACATCATTATTATTATACACTTTTTTATATACATTGTTTTAGTCAACTTTTTTAGAATCGTACTCTTATGCAAACACTGAAATAGTTCTTTTACTGCTTTTATTAAAATAATATACTTCTCTTTTAAAAATATCCCATCCTAAACTTTTGTAATGTACAAATTGTCATTGTTCTACTTAGTTTTTTTGTCAAAGTAATTTCAATATAATTAATGACATTAAAATATGTAAATTATGTAACAAATTAAGGACTTGTAAGACATGTAAGAAACATAGATGATTTTTGATTACCTTAATCCAAATAAAGTCATAATCGAACTAAACAGAAATCGAATTAAACATATATATTATAATATATATTACTTTACTTCATATTTCAATCAGTTTATCAGAATATAAATGGCATCTATTTCATAAACACGTATTATCAATTATATTCTTCTGCTCATATTATTATTGTATACAATATAACCTAAATATTACAAATTGCCCAGACACATACAGTCAAGTCCGAAATAATTCACACCCTTGGTAAGTTCGAACATTTAAACAAAGTTCGTGTTCAAATGTAAATAAAAGTTGAGAAACAGCAAAAAAATAAATCTTTTTGTGTCATTGCCAACAAAAGAAACTTGCTTGTTGAATAAACGTAACTTTAGGTCAGAATTTGACAGGGGTATGAATCATTTTCGGCTTGACTGTATTTATGAAATTTGAAATATAATCAACATTAAGATTCACAACACAAATAACAACACCAGCAGTTGACTCACCTCATTTTAAAGTAATACGCCCCAACAAGTAAGATTAGTACGATGGCGAGGAAGCCAATTACGATAGCAGCGACACTTCCTGAAAACAAATAATGAAAAAAAAATCTGCTGCAGATGTTTATTTCACTATGTTGACGTGTTTGAGTTTTTATTCCTACTAAACTTCTGGTAAAAGGTTAACGTGACTATTTTCAATTCCATATGGTTCCTTTTACAGCATCGATGTTGTAGTGTAATTAAAATATAATCAGTTAAATAGACATTCATTTAGTTGATCAGGCGTAAAACAAGATGAAAAGCTGTTTAAACGCAAGCGCCGTCAGGAGCAGCAGGCAAGCGATGAAACTCCATTGAAAATACTGTGGTAAATTTCATATTTTTTTCATATTTTAAAGACATGGCAATGGAATTGGGAATTTAATGCAGCGCTTTTACATTCTGAGACCCACTTTCTTTCATATAGCAATCAGACAATCAGACAGTGAAGTTCATTGATTTTTAAAGAAAACATCTTACATTTTGTAACATTTTTTTAAGAAAACAGATTATAAATTTTGTAGCAATTTTCGATTTTTGTTTGTTTGCAGATGAAACTTGTTTTGCTACTCATTGCGATGACATTCAAACTTTTTAAGTGTGGCTTTTAAGTGGCCAAATGTCTTTGAAGCCATTAATTTTTCAGTATGTTCTAGGTAAACTTCATTTTACTTTGTACACTAAGCTGTACAAAGTGCAAATTCATACAGGGCTATGAAATGGGTTAAGAAAAATGTAATCTTTATAGTAAAAGCTTAGCGAGCTGTTAATGGTTTGATCACTAAGATTATGTTTTAAATATTAACTTTAAACACTGTCCGTTCAGTAGTTTTTGCAAAATAACAAATCCTGCTCCTTAAAAAACACTTTAACACTGTTTTTCTGATATTGATCAACATTTATGAATTTAACAATGTAAAAATATTTTTTATTTTTTTATTTTACAATTTCTCTAATTTTGTATTATCTACACAAAATGTTTACTGGTTGAATAAATCAAGAAATTTAAATATATCTTCAGGGCAGTACTGAACAAAGAAATTTAAATGCATTTTTTAATGATCTCTCTTATTTTTAGCACCCTTACCACGGACACTGTTTTTGTGGAAACTACCGGTGGCTAAGATGTGTAAAGATTAAACATTAAATGTGGTTAAACAATAAATATTTCATGTTTTGGGTATATCTAATGCCAACGTTTAGTCTCAATCATATGTAATTAGTTCCAGAGTAAACGTATTTAACTAAGGGCAATGTTACATTTTTGAACGTTATATAAATTGAACAATACACTACCTGACAAAAGTCTCTCACCCATCCAAGTTTTAGGAACAACAAATATTAACTTGACTTCTAGTTGATCGTTTGGTATCAGAAGTGGCTTATATGAAAGGCAAAGGCCTCTAGATTACACTTACTTTACCAAAATAAATATAAGTATTTTGCTTAGAATAAGTCTGGTCACTTAACAGAAATAATGTACAGTATAGAATTTAAAGTCATGCTGCAGTGGAAAAAGAATTAATATTGTCGATGACTCCTATGAGCTTGGAGGACAGCATAAATACCTCTCTGCAATGACTTAAATAACTTATTACTAAAGTCATCTGGAATGGCGAAGAAAGCATTCTTGCAGGACTCACAGAGTTCATCAAGATTCTGTAAATTTATCTTCATTGCCTACTCCTTCATTTTATCCCAGACTTGCTCAATAATGTTCATGTCTGGTGACTGGGCTGGCCAATCCTGGAGAACCTTGATCATCTTTTCTTTCAGGAACTTTGATGTGGAGGCATGAGTATGAGAAGGAGCACTATCCTGCTAAAGAATTTGCCCTCTCCTGTGGTTTGTAAAGTAATGGGCAGCACAAATGTCCTGATACGTCAGGCTGTTGATGTTGCAACACACAATGCAGATCTCTTGCACGCCCCCTATAGAATATAACCCCAAACCATGACTTTTCCTTCACCAAACTTGACTGATTTCTCTGAGAATCTTTGGTCCATACAGGCTCCAATAGGTCTTCTATGGTGTTTATGATGATTGGGAAAAATGAACCTTCTGCCACTTTTCTAAATGATGAACTAGAAGTCAAGTTATTATTTGTTGCTACTACAACAAATAATACGATCAACGACAATACTTTTGTCAAATAGTGCATATGAAATTTCTGACTTGTTTTGCTAATTTGCTTAGCATCTTTATATAACTGTTGGTTAAATATTGTTCAGTATAAATAGTATTTCATGAAAGGGTTGTTTGTGTTTGAAGTTATTGACAGCTGATACATTACACAATAGTGACTCAGTATAATTGTACAGTATACAGTTGTAGTTTAATGTTTGCTTTGCTTAGTCATTTATAAGGTTACTGCTGGTAAATTCCTGTAAAGGGTATGGTGATGTAGACAGATCTTGATTTATTGATTTTGTATTGTAATCCTGATTAAACACATCATTTCTTTTGTCAGGAATAAAATAAATACCATATTTTCTGGAGTGAACTATTCCTATAAGAAAATATAAATGCACATTTTAGGCAGATGGCTTTATCAGGGTTTCTGCAGGTTTCTTCAAGTCAAATTTAAGACTTTTTAAGACCCTTTTAATACTATCATGAATGAAATTTTACACTTAGGGCTAAACACTTATGATTATTTCTAATGCTTGCCACAAAAAAAAATCTAATGTAATTAGTGTCAAAACAAGAAAACCCACTACATTATTTTCAACATTATATATATATATATATTTATATATACACGGTACAGACCAAAAGTTTGGACACACCTTCTTATTCGAAGAGTTTTTTTCATGACTTTGAAAATTGTAGATTCACACTGAATGAATCAAACCTATGAATTAACACATGTGTAATTATACACAGAAGTGTGAAACAACTGAAAATATGTAATATAGAAAATATGTAACTTAAAAAATATTCTAAGTTCTTCAAAGTTGCCACTTTTTGCTTTGATTACTGCTTTGAACACTCTTGGCATTCTGAGCTTGATCAGCTTCAAGAGGTTGTCACCTGAAACGTTTTTTTTACAAAGCGATACAAAGAAATTGGCATACATGCGGACTGCCCCAGGAAAGGAACCTCTGCTGCGGAGGATAAGTTCATCTGAATCACCAGCCTCAGAAATCGCAGGTTAACAGCAGCTCAGATTACAGCACAGGTCAATGCCACACAGAGTTCTAGCAGCAGACACATTTCTAGAACAACTGTTAAGAGGAGACTGTGAATCAGGCCTTCATAGTTGAATATCTGCTAGGAAACAACTGCTAAGGACAGGCAACAAGCAGAAGAGACTTGTTTGGGCAAAAGAACACAAGAAACGGACATTAGACCAGTGGAAATCTGTGCTTTTGTCTGATGAGTCCAAATTTGAGATATTTGGTTCCAACCATTGTATCTTTGTGTGATGCAGAAAAGGTGAACGGTTGGACTCTACATGCCTGGTTCCCACTGTGAAGCATGGAGAAGGAGGTGTGATGGTGTGGGGGTGTTTTGCTGGTCACACTGTTGGGGATTTATTCAAAATTGAAGGCATACTGAACCAGCATGGCTACCACAGCATCTTGCAGCGACATGCTATTCTATCCGGTTTGTGTTTAGTTGGACCATCATTTATTTTTCAACAGGACAATGACCCCAAACACACCTCCAGGCTGTGTAAGGGCTATTTGACCAAGAAGGACAGTGATGGGGTGCTGTGCCAGATGACCTGGCCTCCACAGTCACTGGACCTGAACCAAATTTAAATGGATTGGGGTAAGCTGGACTGCAGAGTAAATGCAAAAGGGCCAACAAGTGCTAAGCATCTCTGGGAACTACTTCTAGACTGTTGGAAGACCATTTCAGGTGACTAACTCTTGAAGCTCATCAAGAGAATGACAAGAGTGTGCAAAGCAGTAATCGAAGCAATAGGTAGCTACTTTGAAGAACCTAGAATGACAAATTTTCAGCTGTTCCACACTTTTTTTAGTTATGAATATAATTCCACGTGTGTTAAAATCATAGTTTTGATGCCTTCAGTGTGAATCTACAATTTTCATAGTCATGAAAATAAAGAAAACTCTTTAAATGAAAGAACTTTTGGTCTGTACTGTATATATATATATATATATATATATATAATTTTGTTTGCTTATTTATTTTTTATGACATGTTTAACATTGATAAAAATATATGTATTGTGGAGGCAATTACATAAATAATCAATTTTATTCCAAATTGATTGAGTATAACTTCTATTCAACCTAATGCATTTCTGTTATAAAACCTTAAGTTTCATGTCTATTTATACATATTATGTCTACTCGCCTAAATAAATAGTTTTTGTATGAATAGAAGAAAACATAAAGGGATAAATTGCTCTGTTATTATCATGAGGAATTGTAATTGTTTTCTTTCCCTGATTTTCTTAAGATAGATTATTGGGTATTGGATGGATGTCGGCTCGATTGCGCAACTTTACTTTGACAGAGAAAAATTAAGACCTTTTTAAAATTATTTATACCATAGAACACAATATTTCAGTGAATTTAAGATTTTTTTAAGGCCTAAAATTATGTTTTTGAAATTTAAGACATTTTAAGACTTTTTAAGACCCTCCCCAGATACCCTGTTAAATAAATTCTAAACTAAAATCTCACCTTTGACCACATTTTGAAAACACCAAAAAAATTGTGAAATTGTTAACCTCAACCTGAGGCTGTTTACCAGAACTGACGCAATTTATGAACAGCATGTGAAACTATAGATAAAGTCTCATAAGGAAATAAATTACACACCCTTGACCTACAAAAAGTCTACAAGAGAAAGTCAGAAAACCAAAACATGCCATTATAATAATAATAATAGTAATAATAATAATAATAATAATAATAATAATAATAATAATAATATAACATACCTGAGCTCAGGGCAGCTGGGTCCTTCTTATTTTGCTCAACAGTATTCTGGTTTGGAGTCGTGGCTGTTAATGGTTTTGTAGTTGACGTTACTAATGCTGTAGTAGAGAGCACTGGTTTACTCGTTGTGGTATTTATCGTAGTTGTACTTTTGGTACTAGTAGTAACCGGTTTTGTACTGCCTATAGTTATTTTTTCTGAAGTAGTATGACTCTCTGAAGAGGATGTTGTTTGTTCACTTTCAGTCATCAAACCTGATGTGACTGTGGTCAATTCTTCAGTCACGTTGTGAGCTACGCTGGTGATCTCAGTTGCTGGAGTAGTAGCATTAAAACTAGGGGTTGTTTGATTAGTTGTAGAGTTGTTTGTAGCACTTGAGGTGGAAATTAAAGTTGTTGGAGAATTAGGATTATCAGTAGAGGATGTCTGATCTGTTGTAAAGTCGCTCAAGGTGGAAATTAAAGGGAGCTCCGTTGTTGGAGTATTGGCATTAGCACTAGAAGTTGCCTGATCCATTGTAGATTGGCTGGAGGTGGAACTAAGTATTGTGAGTGGGGTTGTTGTTTCACTTGTATTGGTCAAAATTGTTGGAGAAGCAGTTGTTTTTTGTTCCTCAGTGGCACCACCTGATGTTACGGTTACTGGAGAACCTGTAGTAGCTAAAAGTGATGTTGTAGCCGTTGAATCTTTAACTGCTGTATCATCTGTAGTTGTAGCTGTAGTTGGTGGAGCATCAGTTGTGCTGCATCCAATTATCATCCAACCTTGATGTCACACAAAACAGCCAAAACGCCACAACAGGCATTAACTTACAAACAGTAAATACGTGTGATACAGGTAGTATTATCTTCAAATATGAAAATCTACAATAAACACGGTGTGTTATATAAAACTGAAACATGAAACACAATTAAATACATTAAAGCTCTGTGGTTAAGTTTAAATTTATTTCCTTCTTTATTAATACCACTTTTAGTTCACATTATAAAGATGAAGAAACACTCAGACGCTACACTTACTGTACACCGTGGTCAAAGTTATCATTGGATATTGATAGCTTAATATTTAATAATTAGCCTAAAGTGTTCGTTACACCATACCACATTCACATACTTCATAATAACTGCAATTCATTTTAAAAGTACATTAAATTATTAAGTGTATAACACAAGTGTATGCCTTAATATTAATAATAATTTCTAGTTAACTAAACATACTATAATGATTGAGAAGGAACAAACATACCTGTTAATATAACCACCGTTGAAAAGTGCATTTTCATTTGTCTTCCTCTTCCTACGTCTAACCTAACGACTGTTGAACAGTTTCTCTATCGCTCTAAAACACATGTGAGTGACAAGAAGGAAATTCACACGCACGGCGGGAGCGCGCAGGCGTACACGCCTCCAAACCACCAGTCCGTCGTGACCTTCTCTAATATAAAGTCATGGCATGATGATCAAATAAGCAAAGGAAAAAGCTGTACTTGAAATCCAGGCTACTTTAAAAAAATTACAATAGTGAAAAATAATAATTGAAAAATATGGCAATGAAACATTATAAACAGATAGCAAGAAATCATAAACGAAAGTGGAACGCTTGTTATGGCCTATCACTCCACTAGATGGAAGCAAATCTAAGTTAATACATTCACCGAAACCTGCAAAAGAAAGAAAGAAAGAAAGAAAGAAAGAAAGAAAGAAAGAAAGAAAGAAAGAAAGAAAGAAAGAAAGAAAGAAAGAAAGAAGATTATACAACAAAAAATATTTTTTACCGAAACCTCCAACTGAATACGGATGAAAAAACACTACAGAGAAAGACAAAGATAGAAAGAAAGAAAGAAGATAATACAAAAAAATTATTTTTCGCCCAAACCTCCAACTGAATACAGAAGAAAAACACGACAGAGAAAGAAAGATGATTTTACAACAAAAATTTTTTTTCACGAAACCTCCAACTGAATACTAATGAAAAAACACGACAAAGAAAGAAAGAAAGAAAGAAAGATGATTATACAACAGAAACATTATAGTAGCTGGTTACATATGCATAAATCGCTCATGTAGACTAATTTCTAAAAACTTCTAAAAATACATTTTGCAATGCAGAAGTATTTGTGTGAAACAAATAAGTAAGCATAATTGCATTACAATAGACAGACCTACCTAATAACTGCAATATATTAACATGTTACATGATTAGCTTGTAAAATAAATGATCATTTTGAACTTTTTAAAAAATGACGCTGGAAAGCCTTTTTTGGTTTACACATGTCTCTTGCCGTTCAGGACCAGCATGAACCCAAAAACCAGCATCAAAACAAAAACATTTAAAAAACACTTAGCTATAAATTACTTTAATATTTACTATTAGTATATTTACTATAAATTACTATAGAATTTTTTCATGTGAGATTCTAATATTTATTTATATGTTTGTCTGTTTGTTTGTATGTAGTAATAGGCCTACCATGCACTCTCAGAAAAAAGGTACACGGTGGTACAAATAACGTTCCTTAAGGAACAGTTTTGTACTTATGTTAAAATTGTACCTTATATATTATGAGAATGTTCTGTACCCTATATGGTACAATTGAAATGACAGTACACAATTGTTCTCATAAAAAAAGTTACATAAATGTTGAACATCTCCTACAATTTCAATTACATTAATATTACTGGAAAGGCAAAGTGATTTCATGACTAATTTTCATTTTAAAACATGAAAAAAAGGCATGTTCAAAGAAACTCTTAAACATTAATTATTAAGTTCTATAATACAAAACAACTGGTAAAACAAAACTATAGGTATACTAATCATTTAAGGAATATTTAATAAACAATTGGTAAGCATTTTCTGATAAATAGTTTCATTTTTGATATCTGATATTTTGGCATTTGTTTTTCACTACACAAGCGAGTTGGCAAAAGTCCTGCATTTGCAAAGTGTTCATGAAGACACTTTAGTATTGTAAAAGTAATTAAACATTGTGCATATCCCGTTACAATACTTAATAAACGTACATAATTCTTTTTCTATTTTAAAATTAGGTAAATTAAATAAAAATTGATTATAAAGGTTTTGTGTGAAATTTGGAGGAAAAAAATGATTGAAATTGTACATTGTAATGCAGGGGTCTCAAACTCAATTTACCTGGGGGCCGCAGGAGGCAAAGTCTGGGTGAGGCTGGGCCGCATAAGGGATTTCACAAAAAAAAAGTCCTCAAATGTCATTATTAACAGTTTTAATTATTTCTTCTGAACATGAAGTGGCCTGAACATTAATAGAACATTGAGTGAAGATTATGAACAGTTCTTCTGAACATGGCATCTTTTGCCTACTCCTTGACAGCGCTTCTTCTCACAAATCTGAACCACATTTGGCTTTAGAGCGGAAGCAGTTGAGACCCTCAGTATGGCTTGAAGATGATCATCATTAAGTCTAGACCTGTACTTTGACTTATTGAAGTTCAAGGAGAATAACTTCTCACACAAATATGTGCTCCCAAAAAGACCTAATCCTAGGGGAAAAAGTGGGGGAACTCACTCAAAACTTCCATTCCCTCACCTAAAAAAAGGCGTATATATGTATAAATAAAACATCCCCACCCCACTCCAGTCACATCAGTCTGTACCAGTCTGTATCTACCTATAATATATATAAGACAGGGCTCGAAATTAACTTTTTTACTTGGTAGCACCGGTGCTCCCAACTTCAAATATTTAGGAGCACCAAAATAAATTTAGGAGCACCAGAAAAGATTTAGGAGCACCCACCAAAAATGAATGAGCACTGCAGCAAATTGCTTTTTAAGGGATTTATTGTATTTTAAAACAACATCAATAGGACTGACAAAATCCAGAAAAAACTATCTAACTAATGCTGCGAAGACATTGATATTTGTGTGCAATAATTCCAAAATGAATGTCTAATAATTATAGAATATTAATGATGATGAAAATGACAATAATAGTAACAATGAATTACATTTCTCATTATGATACTGCCTTGAATGTGCATGAATGTAGGTTATCTGCTATAAAAAGTCTGTTACTTTATAAAAAATAATTGTATAGTTTGCATCAAACAAAAATGAAGCATTGCAGTAAGAAATATTTATTTTGTACTGCTGTTTTTATATGCATGTCAATTTAATAAATAATATTTCTGCTACAAAACAAACAAAAGATTATAATAAATCATTCAATTCAATGATGAAAGCTGCAAACCAGTCATCAGTAAATAAATAAAAAATAAAAATAATATACACCTCAAAAAAGAATAGACAAAAGAAAGAAAGTAAAGTCTCACTTCTATCACTCTTTAAAAGATTTGGTTTCAGTTTGTGTCAATTTAAAGGTTCAGTCTGAGATGATCTTCATTTTTCTGTGTTTGTGGAAAAGCAGGCGAGTCAGCCGACCCAATTTATGAGCAGGCAGCGCAAGATTATTGCGATGACCACCGGCGGAATACCGCTGTTTGTTATGAGACGCAGTTTCAGTGTAAACTTAGTAAAGGCGAGCTTCTTTGGCGATGATATGTACAGTATTAGATTTGACTTTTAGCGGACATTTGCGCTGAACACGCAGTGAATGCAACGCATGGAGATTCGGGCGCCTTCTCCATGAAGCGCGTACTCGATTGATCTCAGCTGGTGGATCATTATTCACCACGTGACGTGTCATGATCGCTCTCATCTGCACCTCAATTTTAGGTGGGGTTTGCAAACCTGTGTGCTTTAAGTTTTTTACTCTTCTGCCGTTTGCATTTCCCGTGGTCATAAAAGCTCCTTCCCTGTCATCTGACAGCGGAATACCTTGAGTGATTGACAGCTAAAATGAACCAATATAGCGGCAGGGAAGAGCGATTCAGCATGTTTTTACAAAAAATCAAAACAGGTCGCACTACAACCATTAATTATAAAAATTGATAAATAGATTAATTTTCGGGCAATTTCGAGCCCTGTAAGATGCAGGATGTAGCTGAGTGGCAGGCAGGGGCGGGAACAGCTTACCTTGGTTCTTCCCGCCCGTCACAGCGTCTAACAAAGGGGCGGGGTGCGTGGTGACGTCACCGGCATCCCCGCTCCTTTGTTTACACGGCGGGCGGGGAATGCCAGTGACCGCTGTGTACGGATAGAATCAGCGGAGCTGGAAGCGCTCTCTCTCCCCGCTCCGCTGATTCTGTCAGTGTACAGCGGTCGGCGCGGGCCACAAAATATTGCACTGAGGGCCGCAAATGGCCCGCGGGCCGCGAGTTTGAGACCCCTGTTGTAATGTATTTCTGTAACATTTGTTGTAGTGTGAAATTATTAGGAAAAAATTATCTTTTGATTTAAGTTAAAGTATGTTTTATTCTTTATTGTAAAGAGAAAATGTGCATTTACACACAAACAAAAAAAAACTTTTTATAAAAACATTGTTTAAAAATGTATTTGAGGTTTTATATTTACTGAAAATAAACTGACACATTTTGGATATACTGTAGCAAAATACCTTTAAATAGTTCCTGAAGGAACTCATTTGACACTGTTGTACAAAGTGTATTGTCACTTTAGTGGTACCTTCATGGACTAGATTTGTACCTTCGATTTAGGTACAATATTGTTTCTGCAGATTTTAAAAAACAATGGTACATTTTAGTTTTCCATGGTACAAATCATGTCCTTAAAGGTACAAACTGCAATGGTACACATTTCGTCACCTTGGAATTATAAGGTTCTGCGTTCTAAATGATTTTGTGATATTGAGCCTCAAAGTTTTTGCATTCAATAAAGCAAACACTATGTCTGTAACATTTTTTTTTAAATAGAAAGACTTAAAATGTATACACGTTTAAAAAAAAAAAACATTCTAAAGATGTAAATAAGTTGTCATTTAATAGGAATTTGTCAATAACTCAATTTCGACAATTATGTCAGATAGAACCTTATAATCCTAAGGTGACGATTTGTTTCTTTGTCTTAAGATACAATTCTGTTCTAAAAAAAAGTACTGCCCCAGCAACAAGGGTTAGTACAACACTGTCCCATTTATTTCTGAGAGTGTGGTATACAAACTATAGGCTAATGAATACACAAAAAAAGTGTGGTTCTTAAGGGTTACATTAAATATAAGAGAAAAGTTTAGAAAATCATCAATCCCATATGAAAAAATACTATAGGTTACGGTAAATAATATAGTATTTTTGAACCATCATAATATAGTGTATTTCACTGTATATTATATTTACAACAATAGTATCTGGATGCAGCCTTTATGGTGCAAGCTCAGTGATGCAATGTCAGACACAATGCACTCAATGCACACAATGACGTCACTGGTTAGGGGTGGGGTTAGGTGAGCGCATTAAAAAGCATTGGATGCAGC